AAATATGAGTGAGCACCAAGCAACAACCCTAGGTTCTCCCCTGAGAACCAGACCAAAAATGTTATGTGCAACACTGAAGATAATATTAATAACATTGCAAAAAAAAAAGTCACGTAGCTGAGAAGAACAGTTAAGATATTTGCATGTGAAGTAACAGGAAGTGATGTCAAAGGGGAATGTCTGCATGTGAACAGAGAATTGGTACAATAACTAAAATCAAAGACTGTAAAGAAGAATCTGATGTATCTTTATTGTTAATATTGCTTCAATAAACAAAGATCAGAAAGTTCATTTTTAAATAATTGGGGTGGCTGTGGCAGAGTGGTTAGGGGAGTCGTCATGGAACCAGAAGGTCGCCGGTTCAATCCCCCGTCCAGCTGTCTCAGTTGTTGTGTCCTTGGGCAAGACACTTCACCCCTAATACCTCTGATKTGTGTCCCATCAGTGTATGAATGTGATTGGCACTGATTAGTCTCTATAGATGATTGTTCATGTTAGCTTTGKAGAGACCTACAAATAGAGAGCTGAGTGAATGAGGACACAGATAGTGTGAAGCAYTATGAGTATCCTGGTTGGATAGAAATGCGCTATATAAGTACAGTCCATTTACCATTTATAATTCCACTTTGATGTCACTTCCTGTTTCATTTTGTCTGAGACAAGTTCACAAGAAAATCTGTCAGTTATGACAAAATGTGTTAAATCATGTATTATGTCAAGTTTCCTAAATATAAAGATATTTTCTTTGACTTTAGTCGGGTACTTTAAAATGACATAAGTCAGTGATGAACATGGAGTCATATCAAACACACAGACTAGATTTGTGTCACTGACATGTTTGTTTATTTAAACTGATCTCACATAGATCTGACACAACAAAGTGAAAACCTCTCACACCTGCTGACTGGTGGGTGTTTACATTAGAGAATCATTAGCAGCTGCTTTGTGAAGCTGCAGGTAGAGGTCAGAGCAGACAACTCACCAGGTATAGCCAGGTTCCTCAAGGCGCTCAGCGCAGCGTGTTGGACAGTAACGTTTCCTTCTTCAACGTGGCGATCTAACAGTTCCAGAAGCTTCTGTACAATTCCAGTGTCCACCATGTGAATGCAGTTTCCATCTAAACAAAAACACAAATACAGTTTAAAACACAGCTTGAGTTTGGTACGGGCTGCTAAACTCAACCGTTTCTACTTAGATCAACATTTTATTTTACTATTCAAACAAAGGTACAGCTTGTGGGTAAATAATTTTCTTCAGAGGATGAATAAAGTATTAATTCATTAATTTATTGTCTTACACTTGTAAGAGCAAAAATAGACATTTTAAAAAGGTAAGCAGTCTGAATGTGACAGATGTTTTTCAGCATAGCTTTGGTGAAGGAAGATGTTGGGAATATTCTMCACATCTATGATTTTTCTGTAAATGAGTTTGAGCTGAGGGGTCTGAAATTAGTCCTACCCAAAAGTTACTCCAATATCAGCATCCTTAGTGAGCATAAGTTGGATCTTAGTGGGCACAGCTAGCTAATTTGGTTCACTAACCACTAACCAGCTAAACAAGAATTTTAGCTCCACTAATGCTAAAACTACTAAACAGATAAAAACTAGTTGAAGCTAACGSTAACCACTAAGATGACTGTCAGCCTCCATCTCCTTCCAGTTGAAGATGGTGGGACTGACACCTATTGTCCGTTTTCTATTGGTTTAATTTGAAGGTGGGTGGGATCATCTGTGGCTAATTGGCCAATCAAAGCCAGAGTTAGAGCTCTGTCTAACTTGTGATATATCCAGTATATCCCTTTCAGAATAAAAGCGTGTTTTGATTGCAACTGTAATTTTATAAATACCGTTTGGTTAGTCAAAGAACAAATAGTGAATATTTTCTCTACCATATCTTATAGTCAATTTAAATATTATAAGTAACTAAAATAATACTAAATAAAATAAGCAATTTATTTTATTTCTTTTGACGTTAGTTTTTGAAGTTTAGCTGCTAAAGATGCTACATGCTCTGTGCCTGACACATCCAGCACTGCTTGTAATTTAGGACAAATGGCATAAAAGCAGAAGTTTAACACGTGTGAAAATTTTAGCTGACTTAAAGTTAGCTGAACCTAATTCAGCAGAAACTAAACGGTCCGCAAAACCATTTCCAGAGTTAGAGAAAAAAAATCTGCTTATAAGAAGCTAATTCCACTATTAGAGGAATAGAGCCCACCACTGTGAGTGTTTCTTCAAACAGAACTGCCTGATTTTTTTTGCTTAGAAGGCATGATAAAAGCCTCAGCACAGTGGGATTCTGTGACTGGTTCTAAATATATTTTTACTCTGCATTAAACCACAATTCAAATGTCTGATTTCCAAACACAAAATTCCTCAGTGTATTTATTTAAYGAGTGTGACCAATCATTTGGTTCTGCTATGTCCAACACCTCATTGGTCTAAGAGAAATTTGATTATTTTATTTAACTACATATTCCAGGACCCATTCTTGTAAATATAATTCTGGTTCTCCTTGAAGGACTGCCCATCTCATGCCAGAGTTTATACTAGAGTTTTAAACAAAGATTGTTTTATGACGGGAAACAGTCATAACAGTTACTAAAATGAAGTTGAATCTCATGTGATGTCACACTCAGCTTAACATAATGTGAATGACTAGTTTTATCAAATTTCAGCTCAATATTTGTAGAACTGAGTTATAATCAGATTTAAACCAGCTCCCTCCTTTATTTATGCAGCACAACAATGTAAATGTATCTCTTCAGTGTTTGCTTTCCTAMTCTTATCTGCTCTTGCCTCTGGTGGAGGGACAAACCTTACCGTTGCGGGCGAAGTTAGCGATGGCCAAAGCCCCAGCCAGCTGCAGCTGGTGGTTGTGGGATGGTATCCAGGACAGGACCCTCTGGAAGACGCTGCCCTTTCCTCCTTCAAACAGCTTTTGCATGGACTCATCTAGGCAGAGGAAGGAGGACAGTTCACAGCTGCTCCCAGCCACGCTGAGTCATCACTAGGTTTCTAATAATGAGCGCATCAAATAATAATGATGCGTCTAAAAACTCTCATATGATTTGCTGAGAGAGCCCAARGAAGAACCTGGGTGTATATTTACAGCCCACCATGTTTAGGTTTATTCTGMTGCAATTAAATATTTACATCAAGGTTATTATTTATTCATCAGAGCTGCATGAAGGGCTTTTCAGAGATGCACCAAAGAAATGGCTTTTCATGGGCAGTTTTCAGCTCGATCATCTGGTAAAACAGCTAAATATTCATTATATTTCTGGTCTGTGAATGCACCATATGTCACAATGACAGAAGAGGTTAACCTTTTAGATAGTCAGCAGATTAGTTGCTGTTCCTTTTAGTTCCTTTTCAGTCATTTCACTCAGTACAACACACAGTTGTATATGGGACACGCGCCTGCCTGAAGCCACCTCTAATCATGTCTTTAGAC